TATATATATATATATATAATTGAAGGGAAAGAAAAGTGAAAAGATGAGTTATAGCTAATAACTCAGCTAAAAACAACATGCTAGCACAAGTCATTATGTCCTGATAAGGACTAAAATACTTTACGATGATCCAGCAGAAAGAATTGCATTACCTATAAAGGAAAACATGGAAGTGGAAAATTTTATTAAAACTGTGCATACCTCGTGTCCAGGAGTGTCAAGGAAAACACAGGGTAACTTTTTGCCATCAACAGGTACTTCCACTTTATAGGCCCCAATTCCTTGCGTGATCCCACCAGCTTCAGAAGCGGCTACCTGTTAACAATTTGTGCATCAGGCTAAAATTGAATGAGTGTAATATGAGATCGACAGGAGAAGCTCCAGAAATAGCATAATTCTGACAAATTCTCATGCTTTGAAAAGAACAAGATGCAGCCAGCAAAGAAGCATCCAGAAAAGGGGGCAGACTACGACAAAGATTTCACTAACACAAACAACAATTATTACTAATTATTAAGCAACTATCTCTTATTGTATATTACAACTCACAATCTAGCAATAATTTTAATTTTCTCAGGTCAGTATCTCTTTCCATAAGGGCCATTGAAATGCTTGTGTTTTGAAAGATATATTAATCCCTAATCCTTTACATTAAAATCCATGGATTGCACATTTAGGACCATATCCTTCCTGGAAACCATAGTCCAACCAGCATTGGGAACATTTTATGCATGTGTAAACTACTGTACCTAATCATAATTCATAAAATTTGTGTAAGACATGGTCGTAAACATTGACATAACATAACCTTTATATGCTCATGATTCCTTAAAGAAACTGAAAGAATCATAATGATTTGATTAAATTTTCACTATACCTTGCTCTTCCGTATATAATCCAAAAGAGTTGTCTGCCAATTGAGAACATAAAAAATGTCAGCAAATGTTGGAATTCAGGGTAATAATAAAACAGAAAAATGAAAAATAAAGAGTGTATCACTAACCTTGCCATGATCTACATGGCCCATAATAGTGATTACAGGAGGCCTATCTTTGAGTTTATCGAGGTCATCTTCATCAAGAATTTCTCTTTTCTTCACTAAGCCTTCAACTTTGACCGGGTCTGCATCTATGACTTCAACATCATACTCTTTACAAACCATCTTTACCATATCGTTGTCAAGTGTTTGTACCCCATCTGGTTTAATCCCCTTGGAGTATAGATAACCAAGGATTTCACCTTCACTGGTTGCCAAACAATAGGCCAACTCCTCCACCAGCATACCACTGTCACCAACCTCCAGAATTTCTACTTTGACAGGAGCTGCATCCCTAGCAGCCTGGAGTCGTGCTGCCTTTCGACTTGCTTTACTCCATTTCCTTCCTTTTCTTGCTGTTGCGGCACCAGGAATAGAGACATCAAGCTCTGATGCCTCATGAATCACATCAGCATCATCATCATCCAAAATTCGTCTTCTACGTCCTCCCCCAGCCAGAGCACCTTTCTTCCGAAAATCATCTTTAAACTTTCCCGGGGAAGGTGCCTTCCCTGGTTTTGGAGGTGCTAGAACTGCTTGCGCAATTAGAGGATCAACTACTGGTTTCTTGGAAGCAAACTTGTCAATCAAGATAGGTGACTTCTTTTCTTTGGGTTTAACTGATGTTTCAGCTGCTCCTTTGTCCCTCAAGACAACAGGTTTTTTGACAGGTGGGGGAGCTATAGAAGGTTTAGATAATAACGCAGGTTGAGGTTTTGAAGGTGGTTGAGGTTTTGAAGGCAATTGGGGTTTCAAAGGTGGCTGAGGAGCACGAGTTTGAGAAACCACCTTCTCCCCTCCTCTAGTTTGAGACTTCTCCTCTTCAATCTTGTTATAATTAGGCTTTGGCACTTCCTTCACAACCTTCTGCACCGATGCAACACTATCCCCTTTACGCCATACACTCTTCAAGGTTTTAGACTTCTGAGATGCTGCTGAATTCACCGGTTTCTCAGCCTTAGGACTAGCACCAGCATTATTCCTTATTGGTTTGTTCACTGAACCATTGTTCTTATCACCATTCACCTTGGAATTCCCCAGCTTTTCCGCCTTCTCTAACACCTCCCCAAGTGATTCAATCACCTTATTCCTCTCTTCCACATCCCCAGGATTCCCAGCAGTCCTTGAGGGCCCCAAAATGGGGTCACCCTTATTCTCTGGTGACTTTAACACAGGCCTTGGAGGAGGCTTAAGCACAAAACCAGCACCATCATCTCCACCCTTACTACTACTACTACTACTGTTAGAATCAAGGGACACTGAATTCCCTTGATCAGCAATAAAATCAGTTGTGGTCACTGAATATCTACACACAGACAATGATAAACAATGCCATCTCTTTCTCCCCTTACAATTTCCTCTGGAAAAAGAGACCCTCTTCACCACAGAGTGAGACCTTCTAGAGGAACTCACACTCATGAGGCTCCCCAAACTCACTGGAGAAGCGAGGGAACTCATTGTTCCCTGTTTGTTCCCCACTAAAATTAACATAATGAGACCCACCCCCACAACACCAAAACACAAAAATGTTTCAAAACTAAAGCACCTTCTAAAACCTCATCAATACCCCATCATATCACGCACCCCTATCAACTACTCAACCTACCCAGAGCCCAAATTCCAATCAAGGGCAATACCAACACTTCTGGCCCAATGGAGCAAAAAAGGTACGGTACCTCCGTTCAAAGAGAGAAGAAACTTTAGGTGCCAAATTAAGGTGGAACATGCAAACAGGTTCTGGTAAGAAGAAGAAGATGACGACGATGACGATGATGAAAAGAATTAAGTTTGAGGTGATTCTGTGGCTATAGAGAGTGGTGAGTGATAGGTTTATGGCATTTTTCTAAGGGATGTGTGGATGGTTTTGTGCCTGCGGAATTATGTATGTGATAAGGCTTTTTCTTATTTTTCTTTCTTTTTTTTTCTTGTGATTTTTTATGCACTCTCTCGTACGAGGAAAATAAAAACAAAATAGGTTAAAATCCTTTTTGAAACAAAAACAAATAAAAGGTGGAATGAAATGTCGTCGAGTTTATGAAAGGTGGTAGGATGGAACACGTCGTGATTATAAATATAAATATTATTATTATTTTGAAATTACTATTATTATTATTTAGAATTGTGAACTCGAATAACTTATTTTTGTTAATGCAACCTCAGTAAAGTACAAAATATAGCGTGGATTTCTTTGACAGAGTTGGATATATTAATTGATTATTTTTTTCAAGCACGATAACTTACACGTCGCTTATGTTGTTTTTGGTTATAATGGACTTACACGTAGATTGGTTATATATATATATATATATATAACATCCCAAAATACAGTAATTACCATAAATCAGAATTAATTACAATTAATAGTTAATAATGCAGTCTTTTCATTAATAAAAACGAAAGCAGAAGTCGAACGGCTTAAGTACAGAATTACAATAGATAAAGACGAACGGTTTTACAAAAAGAAAAGTAAACGAACGTCCAATTCAGAAGCGAACGACTAAACTAAAAATGAAAGACGGACGTACTACTGCTCCGTTTTCACTTCCACTTCTACTAAGTTTTCTTCTTGGATCACCTCCTCTAAGGTAGCCTCGCCTTCTGCTCACATCCACACGGATGATCATTACAAGACAGGACGAACGTACATAGACAAATGGACAACACAAGGAAAACGAAAGGGTAAGCTTATATAATTAAATTCATACAATCAACATGTATATTTAACATTTCAATTCACACACACATGTAACTTAACATAGATCTATATATATATAAATATACTAGACAGACCGTCCGGACGGTATGAACCGTGTAGCTACAGGCGTCCTCGCACCCGAGTGGTGTAGTAACTGGGATACACTCAACAGCTGCCACTCGAGGTTAGTCCGTTCTTACGTCGCCCATGTTAACTTATGGACTAAGGACCTCCTGCCATTCCCACACATGAACTACTCTCCTCTACGTGAAGATGAGTATCACGGAATATCAGGATGGACCATGCCAGCATTAGCATAACCACAGTCATACTTTACCCAATTCAAAAATCAACATGTATGAGACGTTCCTCCCTGGAACGCTCGTCCAAAATCCAATATCATAATATCGCTCCATATGGCGTTCACACTTTAAATTATTATAATTCCTCATCTTTTACATCTTTAGATTTAAGAGTATAAAATAACGAACGCTCAATCCACTAAAGAGTTATGACGAACGTCCAAATAAAGGCACTGGATGAACAGGAAAATATATATA